CTTTTTATGCTAGGCCCGCTAATTGCTGAAGCATGTCATTCCATTGTTGTGTGTCGGCCATATTGTGTTGTCAGTCACTGTTGCCAGTTGTCTGCTAGTTTTTTCGGCGACTCTTTTTTAAAAGAGAATTACTGACATTGTTTATAAAATATAGTACAATTTATTTGTTGCTTATTTTAACAAATTGCTTGCTTTTGACAGCTATTGTTTGTATTCATCTGCCTTGTTCTATCAATTTGTGAAATGTTGCATAATAATGTTTGGGAGATTAAATTTTTTAACAAATGCCGTTGTTATTTATTACTAACAAATTGTCGCAAATATTGGGGGTGAAAGCTACAGAAAGTACATTTGTGTGATTTTTTTTTAAACTTGAGCCAATAATTATTTTTTGAATCTATTTAAAAGTTTTTCGGGCAAAATTGTTCTTAAACACATTTTATTTGATATAATTTATGGGTTTTTTTAAAGATGGCAACCCTACTTCAAATTAGTAGGGGGGTCTTTATTAAAGCAACAGCAGCCAAATCAACAATTTTTAGAATTTATGTCTGTCTGTGCGTTTGTACGCGCATCACTCGAAAACGAGTGCATAGAATTGAATGCAGATTTCAACGATGCATTGCTAGAGGTCGAACTTAAAATATGGAATGAAAAATAAATTAGAGAGTTGCCAGCTGTTTGAAAATTTCAGTTTAAGTAAATTGATAAGATAAAGTAAACATTGCAATATGGCTGCCAAAAGAAAGAGGCCTAAAAAGGCTTACAGCTGAAAAAAGTTTTGTTGAAAGTTGCCATCTGCTTGAAAATTTTAATTCAATTTAATTAATAAGGTAATTTGAATACTGAAATATGGGTATTAAACTGAAGGGGTTTAGGAAAGTTTTATGCCGAAAATATTTTTGAGGGGGGTTGCCACCTGTTTGAAAAATTGTACTTAATTGATAAAATAAATGAAATTTACGGGTATCAAACGGCACAAAAACTCTTTTGAAGCGCAGTGCAGCCCGCTGGGTATTTGCTAGGATAATAATACAATTATTTGTTTAACTATGTTTTTTGAAAAGTGGCATCTCCATATGAAACATTTTCTAAGTTAAAGTTTAAAATAACATTTTTACTATTATATAAGTATTATAACGTACTTGCATATCTGTATGGATTTTTTAAATTTTTTTTTGATCGGCAACTCTCTTTCAAAATTACTTGAAAAAATATGCTTTTGAGTACGGTTTAGCCATGTGTTAATATTTTACTAAAGTTACATATTTAAAGCATTTTTTTTTAAATAAGTGGCAACCCTAATGTTAAATATTTTAGTGATTAAGCTTAATAATCTCTTTTGGTGTTAACTGACTTACAACAGAGTAAAAAAATGATGCCGTTCGAAACGTATTCCCGCCATCCTACATCAAATTTGGGGTGGAGATAAACTTTACGAGGGATGAGCGAAATTCATTCCAAAATAAAAACTTTTCAAAATCACTTGTCTTTTGATACTGATTTATGGGTGCACGACGTATTGATAAGATCACCCTTTATTGGTAAGTTTTAGCCAGTTATTTTTTCCAATTAGTTTGAATATTGTTTTTTATAAAAAATCAAAATTTCACACTTTCTATTTAAAATGTTTAGGAAATGGGTTTCATAGCATTTTTTTTTTGTAGACGGTGTCACTCAATTTTATACCATACAAGGCATGCTCGACAAATTTTGTATATTGAGAAAAATGAACAACAACAACAATTGCCAGAGTATTTGTGGACCTTTTTTCGAGAGGGCGTACGCACAATTCAATATGATGTATTTAAATTTCACTTTTTTTTTGATTATTTTCACAACTAGTTTGTTAACGGGAATAGGATTGCCTAGAGGCAAGTTGCAGTCTGCACCAAATTAAAATACCATACAAAATTTGTACACACGGTCTTGAAGCTGCTTTGGAAAA